GCAACATCATCAGCCAAATCGAAGTCGTTGAGATACTCCATAGTAATAGGCTGCAACAGCAACCCACGGTTCGGTACACGGTCAACGGCTCCAACCATGATCTCGTCGATTGATAATTTACATCCTTGCCTCACACCCGCGATTACCCAAATCGGGTCAGACTAAGCTCCGTTGTGTAACACTCTGCATGAGAAAGCCGCGTACTGCGCTTCGATGAGGTTGACGATTTTATCAGGGACTCCCTTGCGTCTAAGAGCGCCCCACACGTTTTCGTGGTTTAGTCGGTCGAAAGCTTTTTCGTAGTCAATAAATACCAAGTACAGGGACTCTTGGAACTCATTGACCTGCTCCAAGATGATGGGAAGCGTGACAATATGGTCCACACAGGATCTTCCAGCACGGAATCCTGCCTGCTGTCGTCGGAGAGTCGCGTCAATCTTCGATCTCCTGTATGCGATTGAGGAAAACTTTACGCAGAACTTTGAGAACAATACACAGTAATATGATGCCTCGCCAGTTGTCGCGTACAGTTGGATCCCCCTTCTTGGGGACTTTTACTAAGACATCCTGCATCCAGGCGGGCGGAAAAGTCGCGGTGTCCCAGATATTGAAGAGTAGTTAATGCAACATTTGTGAGGATCACAACTGGTCAGTGGGGTCGGTGAGCAACTGTACAGTCGCGTCGTTCACAGGCATCCTTGAGTTCATCCTTGCCCCGCTCAGGCGTCGTGAAACATCTTAGAGGAGGCAGATATCGCCAGTTCCTGTGGCTTTCTCCCCTTCATCAGCCAGGGAGTCCACCCACGCTCGCTTGTCCCGTATACAGAAGCGCCCTCTCTAGAGCCGAATACCGCTGACGGGCATCGTTCTTGGCTCCTCGAGTCCTTGCTCGCTCTATTGCGACTTTTGCTTCTCTCCGCTTCTCGATCTTCCTCCAGGTTTCATCGGTGATGCACTCCTTCCTCTGAGAGCGCAGCTCACCCAGGTTGTTCTCGCTTGTTTCAATAAAGGCATTCTTGATGCTCGTCCACTGTTCTTCTACGCAGCCACCTTCCGGAATATTAGCTGCGCGAGCCTCGAGTTCTTCGACGAACGATCTCTTCACTGCTGGGTCTTCCAGTCGGCGTGTGATGAATCGCCGCCCGAGTCTCTCCTCCCGCCGTTGAACCCGCGCAATGCGTAGGCGGATCTCACCGACCAGGAGATGATGGTCAGACGCGATGTCAGCGTTGCGTTTATTCCGAACATCAAGAAGGCTCCGTCGCCATTTTCGGCTGATGCAGATGTGGTCGATGTGGTTCTCTGTATATCCATCACGGGAGACCCATGTGACTTTATGCACCGGGCGTCCCATAATGCGCTCATAGTCCGAGTTGTCGGAGCCGATCTTCGCATTGAAGTCGCTTGTGTAGATCTTGATATCACCTCTTGGAGTCTTATAGTCGACAGCATTCAGTTGACTGTAAAAGTTCTTTTTGTCCTGCAATTCGGCAGCATCGGTTGGCGCATAACATTGGATTATGGTAAGGTTTCGGACCCGTGTTCTGAATCTGGCAACGATTATTCTCTCATTGATAGGTCCCCACTTGATGAGCGCAGCCTGCGCTTGGGCGCTAAGCAGAAAGCCAACTCCACGATGTCGCGGAGCGTTTTCACCTCGCATACCAGAATATAAAAGTACCTGTCCCGAAGGCAGCTTGTGTTCTCCAAAGTTCGGCCAGCTGACTTCACTAAGTCCCAGGATTTCTAGCTTCATACGGTGGGCCTCACTGGCAAGTTGTGCCAGTTTACCCTGTTGGGCTAGCGTCAGTACATTCCATGTTCCAATTCTTGTCTGTTGTTTACCGCTAAAAGTCGTTGCCATAAAATCAGTTCGTAATATTTCACTATAGGTTTCTATAACATTTTGAAGGCTTCGGAGACAGTAGGTGGTTGGCCTAAGGTCTCCTATCCGCCGTGATGGGACTGCCATCTTGGGTATAGCTTTCGGGGAGAAGCATTTCGTATTCAGCCGCTGGATGCCAGTCAGACGCTGTTTGAGCCGCTCTTAACATAGAGAACAGACGCTCGGGTTTTGTAAGCCACATCCTCCGAAAAGGATGCAGCTCCCCCTTCCCTGTCAGCATACGACCAAAGTTCCCACCGGGGGTGTGTGGGGGTTATAAGGGGTTATATCATGGAGATCCCAAGAACTTAAAAAAAAAATGCCAAAATTTAGCTAAGTTGAGCAGCGATACCTTCAAGAAATTTAAGAGTACTAAATTTATACATTTTTAGAAAGTTTCGCGATATTCAGTGAAGTTACGAGTTACCAGGTCCCAATGCATCATTTTTTACGACTTTAAGGCGGCATACGACAGAATCGACCGCACAGAGCTATGGAAAAGCATTGACGAGAACGGGTTTCCTGGGAAACTGATCAGACTGATCAAAGCAACGATGGACGGTGTGCAAAACTACGTAAGGGTTTCGGGTGAACTATCCAGTTCATTCAAATCTCGCCGGAGACTGCGACAAGGTGTCGGACTCTCATGCCTACTCTTCAACATCGCTCTAGAAGGTGTAATGCGACGGCCGGGCTCAACAGCCGGGGTACGATTTTCACGAAATCCGGTCAATTTGTGTGCTTTGCTGACGACATGGACATTATACCAAGGACTTCCTTGGTAAGGACTGACGGCTGACAACAATGTGAGTCGTGAAATACGAAGGCGCATCATCAGTGGAAGTCGTGCCTACTACGGGCTTTAGAAGAAACTACGGTCAAAAAAGATTCACCTCCGCACCAAATGTACCATGTACAGAACGCTAATAAGACCGGTGGTCCTCTATAGACACGAGACATGGACTATGCTCGAGGAGGACCTGCAAGCACTCGGAGTTTTCGAGCGACGTGTGCTAAGGACGATCTTGGGCGGTGAGCTCGCTGCACTCTACGGCGAACCCAGCATCCAGAAGGTGGCCGTGGCTACTGATCCCGTTGGCACAAGAAGGCGTGTAGCGCAGAGAGCACGATGGGCGGACTAGGTTGTGCGTGATCTAGCGAGCATTGGGCATGACCAAGGATGGAGAGCGGCAGCCGCAAACCGAGTATTGTGGCGTACTATTGTTGATTATGTCTTATCTTAAATGTGATGTTGTACAAATAAATGTAATGTCTGTAACAAAAAACATCTGAGGATTCCCGGTTTTCCAGATTTTTGAAGTTAGAATACTTACACCGTGGGTTTGGTTCTTAACATTCTATTGAATCTTTCGCTTTAAAGGTTCATATCGTACATAACTATTAATGAGATACTAATTGAATAACATTAATAACATTACTTTTCTTCTCTTAGGTCACTTTTTAGTGACTATTTTTACAACTATAAGTCACTATTTTGTCACTTAATTATTCAACATGGTCACTAAAATCACTATTTCTGACAGCAGTGCTACCAGCCCTGAAATATCTAGAAAATGTATCACTCGAAAGTATTTTTTTTTCGGAATAAAAAAAAAGATTATTAGTGCCATCTGGTTGTCAAAGTCTATTCCATACGAAGTGAATGGTTATCTAGCTCAATTATTTGGAAGGCTTAATTGAGTTAGCTTTACGGAGCCGATATACTGAGTGATGTTCGAGTACTTCTTACTGAGGAATTCTTCAAGCACTGGAGGAAATGAGCGTATCGGCCAAATCAAAACGCAACTAAAAGAAAACCACACAACTTGGTCCAAAATCTCTTCAAAGGGGATTCCATTGAAACGTTCGATATACTTAAAAGAATTTAATCTTCTACAAGCTTCTACAACCCTTCCTGGAATCCTTCATCTTTTGACGAAAATTTTTTACCCTCAAAATTTGTAACCACATATGCAGCATTCCAATGATGTTGCCCCGTGTACAACCAAGTTTGGTAGGTACGAGTACTTCCCTGAATGGGAAGTGAAGTGAAAATATGTTTCTTCCAACATCGTTCAACGCACCAGACGACTGCCAGGCTTCTCCCTGCTGGTGCCGTTGTACACAATAATACACTCATATCTCTTGGAAAACAAGCACAAACATGGACTCGCTGCGGCAATCAGGAGTGGAAGGGCATGCAGACCTTGAGGCCACCCCCGGTCCTGCCCAGCCTCCCGTTTGCTTTGTGACGTGTTTATGTGTGCCGGTATGAAGTGTAAATGGAGAAACATTTTGCTCACTTTTGTGCTCTCGGAACGATGCTGGCTCGAAACGTTGTACATTGTTGGCTCGAAACGCACCTCATAACACGCACTCACACATACGAAACGATAAGGATTTAATTAAATAAAATATCCCGCTCCATTTTTCATTCATATTTGAACATTTATTTTGTAGGCTGCCTTTCTTCTTCCCAGCCCAGGAGTCACGTGGTTGTGTCGTCTTTGGTTTCACGTGTCAGGATTTTATTCCCCCTCTCCTCGCATTCAAAGGTTCATTTATGCACTCACACCCCACACTAGGGCCGGGAAATGGGCTTGTAAATGTTTTATTAAAAAGTGTTGTATGTGGAGTAATTCAAGACTCACTTTCACGCTCGGTCAGAAGGTGAAGCCGGGGGGAGAGGGGGGGTTTGCGGTACATATATGCCAAGTTTCGTGACACATTTACACTGCGAAGGAGTGCTCTGGGGAGTTTTGTTACTGGAAGCTAATTGAATATTGTACACGTAATGGGAGTGCAATGTTGGGGTAAATCATGTCTTGGACGTTTACACAATCCATTTCGTGATGGGTGCAGTCAGCTTTCATGTAATTAGAAGAGGTGACAATGTTGCTCCAGAGTGATGCTGGTTTGGGAATGTAGCAAAGCATCTGGAGGAACTCTTGCTGTGATTAAAGAGCCAGAATGGATTGATCTCAAATTTAGGTGTGTTATACATTTTTTTACAATGAGGGAGGAGGGTTTTGAAAATCACAAAAAACTGTGCTTTCGTAATTGTTCTTACTCTGGTTCGCAACGTACTAATCGGAAAATCTTTTTCTCATTCCAGGCTGGCGCTATCTCTCGGTGGCAATGATCTTCGTAGCCACGGCCATGCTCTGCAAGGAGCAGGGCATCACCATCACCGGCGTCTGTGCCATCTACGAAATCTTCGTTGCCCAGAAGGTAAGAATTTTCACCTCGCATTCTTCCGAACCGGAAAAAAGTCATCCGAGAAGATTAACTGCTCTTCCCAAAAGACACCGTCAAACAAATTGGTCAGCGACCGACCAAGCGCCATGGCCACGATTATGGCGCAAAACAAACACAGAGCCAAAATTAAGTGATTCGTTTTAATCATTCCTCTGCGCCAAGGGAATGCCCTCGGTCGAAGAAAAAAAAACGAAATCCGGAATCCGAATTTATGGTTCGGACCGACCACAGCATCCTCGCTAGTGGAAATTGCCCCCGGCTCATCAACAGTGGGGAATTTGGGTCAACCGGAGATGCTCGTTCGACTCGCCGACGAAGAAAACAAAATAATTTCAACAATTTTGGCCAACTTCTCCCCCGGTGCCGTCATCGTTCTCTTGACCAACGAAACAAAGAATTGCCCGAATCGGGAGGAGATTTTCCACGGAAAAAATACATAACCACTTTCTGCGATTTTATTTTTCAGTTGAGTCTGTCCCATTTCCCAATAGTATTGGGAGGGGACCTCCACCGCAGGTTGAAAGGAAAGAAAACAGAAACATTTTCATTTTTCGCTGTAGTGGTATCCAACGGGCCAGGCATCACATCGCTCCCGGAGGAATTTTAATCACAATCTTCTCGGTGGCCCTGTTCGGAATTTCTCAGGAAGTTGACATTTGCTTTAGTGTAGTGTAGGAGTGCAAGGACAGTGCTCGTGATGGTCTAGCTATGGAACAGCTAGAATGAAGAGACGATGCCGAAAGAGCTTTAAGTACAGCATTTTGTTTGATCTCCGCAGAATATCATGCTAACTGGAAATATTGCCATAAAGTGAAAATTGATCGTCAATCAATTGAAGTTAGATTTTTTTTCAGGAAAGATTGCACTTTTTGATCCCTTAAAGCACTCTTCCATACGAGTCGTCTCTATCCAGGCGTATAATTTTAAAATCATGGAAGTTGAGTTCTCTATCGGAAGACGGCCATGTTTTACAGAGATCAACTAGGGCTATCCGATTTCCGTCCTACTAAGCACAACCCACGCTTGATCTCTTTTTGTTAAACGGATATGAATAACACATTAAATGATTCTACTATAGATGACTTCTAAATTTGTCTACCTTTCCATGCGTATCGTTGGATTTAATAAAACAAAAAACTACAAGAGACAGCCCTATCGGCTTGTACGCAATGGTGACGTAGGACTACGTGGTCTTATTTAATAAATCTTGTTTGTTAACTGCAGCAGGAGCTTGTGTTTTGTGTAGGAAAAGGAATTTGAGTGGGGTTTTCTGTGTTTAGATGGCCCACAGCGACTTTTTTTTTTCAATTGTTTATTTAGTTTTAAATAATAAATAACACATTCAAACAGATAAAAAATTAAATTATTCTTCAAGATTTAGAACAAACTCTAGCTCACCTACATCGATTCTACTATTAACATTGACATTAATAAAGTTGATGTATTTTATGAAAATTTTAAGTAAATTGATTCTTGTCTCTGTTGCAATTGTACCCAGGATCGGGCGTAGAAGGTCTTCGAAAGTAGGCCTTTGCCACCCACCGAGAGTCATCGTCATCGTTCGTTGCACGTACGCCCATGCCGTGGTTACTCGGGGGCACTCACTGAACTTGTGTTGCATAGATTCGGTCATCACCAAGCAGTGCTGACAATGCGGGTCGTTTGCACGGTCGATGATGTTCATCAGTCTGCGGTGCTCCGTTTTTTGTTCACTAACAAGTAGAGATCGCTGCGCTGGCTCGATGACAGTCTTCTTGATGAAATGTTTGCTCATATCTTCTTCCAGTTCAGGCCTGGCTGGTTCCGTTCCACTTTTGGTATCTCGGTTTGCTCCAGATAGAAGCGGTGAATTTGATCACTGGTGGGGTTTTGTTGGATGTGGTGGGGATACAACGAAAATTGCTGAGAGATGAGTTTTAGGCAGGGAAGATCGGAATATTTTGGGCGAGAAGGGACTGATAATGGGGAAGGGAATCGATCTCTTGAAGATGGCGATTGACGAGAAGCGCTTTGCACTTGATCGCAGGCAATTGCAGTTTTAGTCATCCATGCTCTTTACTGCGCACCAGCTGCTGCATTGAGGCACGTGCTGCCAATCCTCGAAACAGGAAAGTCCCCATTGCCGCTGGCAACTTTGCCATATGGATACATTGCGGTGGTATTATGGAAGAGAGGTACCACACCTTCGCTTTGATGAAGGTGTTTAGTAATATTACCTTTTGCTGCAGGGTAAGGGAGCGCATGTTATGCATCCATATAAGCTGTCGAATTTTGTTTATTAGCGTATCCCAGTGTAGCTTCACCATCAGCCGCACAGAGTTTGCAAAAATAACACCCCGAACCTTCACCTTCTCTGTATTCTTTAGTCCTGGTTTCAACAGTGGATCCCCATTGATGAATCCGACATCTATTGCCACTGTTTTATGACGATTCAAAACTAAACGGCAACGACTTCAAAGCAGTCGAACAGCTGAAAGATCCGTTCAATTGTTTGCGATGATGTTGCTATCACCGTGATATCGTCAGCGTACGCAACGCACAGATCACCGCCACACACACGTTCCACCCATGTGAGGAGGGGATAGAGGTAGAGCACAAAGAGCAGCATCGACATCGGATCTCCCTGACGTACGGATCGTTCTATGCGGAACGACGGTGAAAGGTGCCCATTCAATAACAGTCGTGATGAAGAGGTATCGGCCACTCGAGAGAGCCAGCCGACGAAATCATGATTGATACCCAGAGAGAGAAGGGTTCGATGAAGAAACTCATGAGATACCCAATCAAATTCGTGGTCTAAGTCGAACGAGATCAGCTTTCCTTTCTGTTTTCTTGCGATAAGCTGGGCCACACGATCCTTGAGCAAGAGTGTAGCTTAAAAACTCGATGTATCTGCAGCACGCGTTCCAAACGGGCCTTCATCACACGGCTAAGAATTTTATAATCGACGGTGAGCAGGCTAATCGGACGGTATGCTCTCGCTGTCTCCCTGGCCTCCCTTTTTTCCAGCACGATTGTGCCATCGGTGAATGTCGAGGGGAGCTCATTCGTCATAGATGACGTCGAATGTTCGTAGGTAGAACTCCACTGGCAGGCCATCGGTACCAGGCGATTTTCGTTTCTGCGATGTTCGGATGGCATTTTTCAAATCGTCAATAGTGATCTCTGCCATTAGAGCATCGTTGATTTCGTCGTTCTCGGGTACGACTCTCTCGTTTATATACGTTTCTTCCCCATTCTGCCTCGCCTATTCAGCCGCATACAGGTCCTTGAAGTATCGGAACATGTGTTGTTTGATCTCCAGGGAGTCTTGTATTTGTTCTTCTCGCTCGTTCTGCAGTTCTGTTATAGTTGTTTTTTTCCTTCGTCTGCCGCCCAACTGGAAGGTGGATATGCTCACGCCCGCAACGAACGTCTCGTTGAGGCGGATGAAATTTTGTGCAAAACGAAAGCATTTGCGCTTTTACGCGGTTGATAGTCACCAGCATGGTGGGATTCTGATTGTACGCATCATATGCGAGTCGTAGTTGCGTGCACAGACGTTGGTGTTCAGCGTTATAGATGCTGAATGCTTCGCTCGACTTCCAGCGGAAAAACGACTTGATTTTTGGCTTCGCGTATGAAAGCCACCATGCCATCTAGCCGGGGAAATTCCTCCGTTGGCGGGTCCAAAACTGCCACCGGACTTAAAACTCGTCAATGTTTGCGGCAGTCAAAAGGTGAGGGCGGAGGGAACAAAAACCACGTCCTTGTTCGCGACCGAGGTCGGGAAGGCAAATTCGTGCTGTTAGAGCCTTGTGGTCTGAAAATGAACATACGTGCGCTGACATACATGCGGTCGAGCCTGGATGCCGCATTGTGAGTGACGTACGTGGGTGCGGGGGATGTGGGGTACAGTTTTAACCATATGTCGTGTAGCTGCAGCTGCCGTACGGTCGCCTGGAGAGCTGGACTTGAGTTGGCACTCGTAGAGTCACTCGGACGTAGTACGCAGTTGAAATCACCGGCAAGGATGACGTGTTGCGTGTTGAAGCGAAGGTAATAAGCGATCGTGCCGTTGAAAAACCTCTCTCTTTCCGCACGAAAAGCTGTCCCCTATGGTGCGTAGACGTTGCAGAGAGTCGTATTTTGCACCCTCAAAGCAATGAGGCGGCCATCCAGGCTTTTCTCGACATGCGAGAATTGTATGTGGTAGCGCGATTGACGTTCCCCGCCTCGCGTGATCCACATTACAGACGACGTTGAAGCCAGGGAGAGTGAGCTGCTCATTCTCCACCTCCTGAACGAAAACGATGTCCAGCTGCAGCGTTCGTACGAAAGACCGAAGTGCGTAGATCTTCGTTGCGTTCGTGATGTTGTTGATGTTGATAGATGCGAGGTTATAACTGGACGGGTGCGGAGATGCCTTTTGGAGCTGGGTTAACCGACAGATGAATCTGTCTCATTTCCATCGGACTTACCACTAGCAGTTTTGCGATCCACTCCGCCACTAGCAGGGGGCTGTTGACCTGTAGAGGGGATCAACGGCCCACTATCCGATGGGTGAACCTAAGCCGAGGTAGAGGCTAACGTAGGAAAATTTTCCGCAGTGACGACCGGTGGTGGTAACCATAGTAATATTGTGTTCGTTGGGTTCGCAGTGGATGCGGTTTGCTTCGTTGTTTGTGAAGACTTAGGTGATGGACTCATCTGCTTTGCGGCATCGGTATACGTCTTCTGCACGAGCAGTTTTTTATTCTGCACACAGGTAGCTCCTACGTGGATGTATTCGCGGCAGTGCCGGCAAGTTTGACGTTGCCCGAAATACGACACTTGTGTCATCTCCCCATCGGCGATTTTTAGGTCCGACACGTCCTCGGACAAATCGTACAGCCTCACCTCCACTGCTCCCTCCTCCAGTGTGATTCTCAACGGATACTTCTTCCCGTCGACTGTAATCTCGTGCTTGTTGTCGTGTTTCTCGCAAATTCGTT